ATTTTTTTGTCCACGTGGAACCCCACGTCAATTAAAAAATAGGTTCTACAAATGTCACATCAGCATTTAACAGATTTACTAACAGTGTAGCTAACGGAGGGGGAAATTGTAAGGTTTCTGCGACGTTGAGTATGTACTGGTAAATATCCCCAAAATCGAGTATGAACTCATAAATGACCCTATAAGTTGGGGAGTTTACTGTAGTTTATCAATTAATTTTTGGTTCACATACCTTTATCATTTTGCAAGTAGAATTTTACAGATAGTGAATTCGTATTAATCATTCTTCTAAGCAAAAGCAAGAATCTCGTTTGTAGTTGAGTTGCTTGAAGTGTTTGTAAGGGTAATATTTTGGCTGCATTAGCACAAAAACAGTCAGAGCCAAAAGTAATGAAAAAGATAAACCAATATTGTATTGGTGTAAGTAAGAGAAGAGCTTCTGAAGAGAGACACATGGCTTTTTGTACGACCTAGCTAGCTCCAGTTATGTTCTTGTATGGACGAGTGAAAGCTGTTATTGAGTTAAATAAAGGGAGATTCACTATTATACTCAATATAGGGGCCCAAATTATAAAATTACCCTATATGAAATGGATTTTAGAAACACACTCAAAGTCCATTTACAACATAACAAAGAGGCTTTTAACTTCTTATAAATTACAAAATTTTCATAAATTTCTTAAAACAAGCCCAACCCCAAAACCTTATAAAAAACCCAAAACACTCAATAGGGCATCAAAGTAACTTAATAATTAAAATTAAATTAAATAGAGCCAGCTATTATTTTTTGGGGTTGTTTATAGGGTTTATTTATATTTTATGTGCTAAGAATGAGTATATGACTAAATATCTCTTACAGTGTGTTTGGATGCGGTAAAATAACTCGGGATTTTAATAAAAGTCGGGATTTGGAGCGTGGAAAAGGGAAAGTTCGGCGTTTGGCAAAACCAACTCAAGATTTGCCAAATTACAAGTTGAAAATATCGTGGGAATTGCACATCTAAAATCCCGAGTTGAAATTCCATGGTAATAGGTGGAATTGTACAATTCCCAATAGAGAGGGAATTTTTGTCTTCTGCCCACCAAATCTCCTCTATAACCTATCATCTGCCGGCCAAAATATTCATCTTCTGCCTACCAAAATTTCAGGAATAACCTATCTTCTTCAAAGAGGATGTTGACGCAGAAAAATGGTTCGGTACTTTCCCGCGTAACTTAGTGATTTTGTTTTCCTTCGGTATGCTATGGCCTCGGTAGGGTGTTATACCTGTAAGATAGCAAACGCTCGGTAAGTCCTAGGGTACCGGTGTGATACCTGCCGAAGGCTCTCCGATGCTTAAGTAAGTACGAATTTAGTAAGTTTGGACTACAGATCAATAGGCGGTATGCCGTGAGTTCTGATTGATTACCTCCAGGCTGGGATAGCTGTCCTCTTTTATAGGCCTTGGGAGGTGTGCAATTTATTTAGAGTTTCGATGTGGGACTGTGGATGTCGATTGTGGGACTGCCACGTGTCCCTGGGGGTGAGGTTGCCCTAATGATGCAACCGGTAGGAATGATACCGAAGATAGGTGCCGAAGGCACCCATAGCTCTGGTTTGGTCCACGTGTCCGATATTCATTGGCTGTTCATTTTGGTATAAACAGAGGACAAGCTTGCGAGCCATGGGTATTCTCTTGATGGTGTTCTGCTAAGTTTTCTGGTGAGTTTCAATTTTCAATTTATTTCCTTGTCGTTGGCCTCTTTTTTGTCTGCTATATTGATTCTTTTCATCCATGGAACCAGGGTTCTGCTTTTGTTTTATTTCTCTTCTCTGTCTTTCAATCTGACAAGAAGATTTGCTCTTTGAATCAAGGTAAGAGTCTCAACTATCCAGACTCATATTTCTCTGTTCTTCCCAAACTCATCTTTCTTTGCTCTTCCCATGGCTGTACTTGCTAATTTTGAGTTCTCTAGTTTTCCTTTTTCAGTTAATTGAATCTTGTTTACAAGATAATAATTCTCTGTTGTTCTCCTTGTACTTGCCCTTGCTATGGGCTTGGTTGTGCTTTATATGTTAACTCTTTGTTCGTTTTTTTTTTCTTTTTCTTTTTGTGGGTTTACAAGTACATCTGTGATTGTTTTATTTCAGTTTGTAAGTGGTGAAAAATATGCTCGATTTATATGTTTTGTGAGAGTTGGTTTTTTGTTTCAATATCACAAAGAAGGTGGGAAAGTGTTAAAATTAGTATAAACGTTGTTTTCAATCACATTGCATATTGGTATCAGAGTACTTATTAAATGCAGACTTTGGACTTTGTTTTGTTCCTTTGGTTTTGGTTCTTTATTTTCATTTGTTTTAGTTGTTTGGGTTCTTCCCTGGTGTCCTTTATTATTTCTGGGCTATTGGATGTGTGTTAGTTGTAACTGATAATGATTGCAGTCAATGTTTGACATCTCCTGGAAGTTTGAATGTGCTTAATACTGGTTATGGTGAGCCACCTTACCTGTATGTAAAGTGGTATTTTGATTCTCATTGCATAAAGTCACAACTGTCATGCTTGCCTAATTATATTTTGGTCTCAGTAGAACAAAAACCATGAATGGAATAGAAAGATTACGTGGCCATTCTTCTAGCCTTAACAAAACACTAGGTAATGGTTGGAGTTGGGAAAGATATAATCAATTTACTTCTCAAGTGTTATCCAAGTACTAACACTGGTGTATTATTTCTCAATTTGTTTGGGTTCTTCTCTGGTGTGTTACTTCTCAATTTGTTTGGGTTCTTCTCTGGTGTATTATTTCTGGGCTTTTGGCATGGTTTGCCATTTTGAGCTATAACCTGTACTGTTATTAGATCTCTATGGTTGAGTTTGTGTTCTAATCAGTGTCCAATACCCACAATGACTAAATTTTCTGTATTTGATCTGATATAAATTTCTTCCTAGTTAAGTAATGAGACTGCAATGCATTTGGTTTAATTTGCTTGTCAGGTTTGATATCATAGAATTGTGTGGATCATGTAATCCCTATGCTTAAATTGGTCATTCATTTGTATTTATTTAATTAGTCTTCAATCTAATTTAGTCTTAACTCTTTATGCACAGGGATATGAGGATGCTGACAGGTTTGGTTCCTTTTTGGTATCTTGCTAGCCTCTTTTTTTACGTGTGTTGATGCCGAGTCATATTTTTTTTAGGTGAAGTAGATTGCTTACATAATAAAATTATACACATATAAACAGGCATGGCTAGTGATGATGTAGATAACTTTTTGGCCCATTTAAGTCACAAGCGTGCTAGAGACGAAGAAGAAAATAAGAAGAAAATGGCAATCATTCTTAGTACCATTACATGCATCATTGCCATTGTTGGAGCATGGTATAATGAAAATTATTTGGTTAAAGAGCCTTCATGTGATTGGGATGAAGAAAGGTGATGTCGCTTAAATCGTTTGTATAATGGGAAGGAAGTTGATTGTATTGAACAACTATGAGTTAGCAAGAAAGCATTTCAAAGTTTGTGTACTATTTTGCATGAAAAGGGTGGATTGGTTCGGACAAGAAATGTTTCAATTGAAGAATCCGTTGCTACCTTTTTAAATATACTTGCTCATAACTTGAAGTTTAGGGTCATTGGTTTTGACTATTATCGTTCTAAGGAAACCATTAGTAGGCAATTTAATAGTGTGTTGCGTGCAATGATGAGAATTAGTCAAGAATATTTGAAACTTCAGCCATGTGATATTGGTGGTTCAGAAAGAGAGAAGTGGAAGTGGTTTGAGGTAATCTTATAACTTTAGGAAAACTATGTTCTTGTTATAATGTTACCACTTATTTTAAAATTATTTATGTTTTTTCTTCTTCTATGTCATTAGAATTGTATTGGGGCACTTGATGGAACTCATATTACAGTAACGATGTCTGCTAAGGATAAACCAAGATATCGAAATAGAAAGGGCGATATTTCCACCAATGTTTTAGGAGTTTGTGATCCAGATCTAAAATTCATCTATGTACTATCTGGATGGGAGGGTTCTGCTTCTGATTCTCGTGTTCTACGAGATGCTTTGGCCAGGGATAATTCGTTTCAAGTTTCAAGTGGTAATTTTTTATACTAGTTGTTAAATAATCAAAAACTTAGGTATAAATAACTAACTTTTGTTTTAAACTTTTTATATTGTAGATAAGTACTATCTTGTGGATGCCGGATATGCTAATGGACCTGGTTTTTTAGCACCTTATCGAGGAACTAGATATCACTTAAATGACTAGATTGGAAACAATCGTCCCGAAAATTACAAAGAGTTATTTAACTTGCGCCATTCAATTGCAAGGAACGTAATTGAAAGGTCATTTGGGTTGTTGAAAAAGCGATGGAGTATACTACGTACACCTTCATTTTTCAACATAAAAACACAAACTAGGATTATAAATGCATGCTTTGTGTTGCATAACTTCATTCGAATCAAGCAACACAATGACCATGTGTTACAAGATCAAGATCTGGAGTTTTTAGCTTTTGTGGATCATGAGATATATCAAATCATTCTACAGTAAAGGGTAACGCAAATAGGATTACAAGTGTTCAAGTAACTAATCAATGGACTACTTTTCATGACACATTAGCAATGCAGATGTTTCTTGATTATCAAGCACGAGGCGCCACTAATTCATGATTTTCATTCATTATATATTAATTGAGTTGGAACTGTCTCAAGTTAAATTTATGTATGGAGTTGTAAACATTTGAATAATGTTTTTTCTTATAAGTTTTAATACGTGTGTACTCTTCTTTATTGATCATTTTTTTCTTATTATTCAGCTTTATGTGTCTATTTTGTTATATATGTTTTTTGATGCAAATATATGTTGATCATATTTATTAATATTGTTGTTATAATCATTTTAAATATATAAGATGGCAGAAAAAGTAAACAAAATAAAGCAGAGGAGAAGAAAAGACAAGCAAATTAATGACACGGAAGGAGATGACAAAGCCTATTTTCGATGGAATATACAAATGGAGCGTTCATTAGCGGATATACTTAGAGAAGAACGTCAGATCGGTCACAAAGGAGATGGTGGTTCGAAAGCAATTGCTTATAACGCAGCTGCTGCCATATTGTCTGCATAATTTGATATTGAAGTAAGTGCTAATAACATAAGAAATCGTGTTAAAACCTGGAAAAGGTTTTATGGTATAGTCAGTGATATATTAAGTCAGAGTGAATTTAATTGGGATGCAACAAAGAAGATGATCAGTGTAGATGAAGACAATGTTTGGGATGAGTACGTGAAGGTAATTTATAATGCAATTGTATCTTTTTGAATGACTAAAATTGTGGTAAATAACATATGGTTAACTTTGATTTTTTGCTTGATAGTCTCATGAAGATGCTAGAACTTTTCGATTTAAAGTGATTGCAAACTGGGATGATATAGTGGATTTATGTGGCAAAGATAGAGCTACTGGAGAGGGTGCTAAAACATGTGCAGCAGCTACTGAGGTTATGACTCCTGAGAGTGATCCCAATAATATTGTTGATTTGGAAAGTGATACCCAAGGTTTTGAGAGTTGTCAAGTTGATCATGTTTCACCTAGCTCTAGTTGTCCAAAGAGAAGAAATCAAAATCCTTCTGATATTCCCCCACCAAAAAAAAGAGGTACAACTAATATTCTTACTGATTTAGTGGCTAAGATGGCTTCATCTTTGGAACACTTTATCAATTCTACAACACAAAAGCTTGATCCAACAGAAGTATATAATGAAGTCATTGCAATTCCAGATCTTAGTCCAGATGAACAACTAAAGGCAATGTCTTGGTTTATAGAAAATGAGAAGCAGTTTCTCATGTTAAAGACAATTCCAACTGAGAGAAAGAAGGGAATGGTGTTGATGTTTATTTCACCAAGAGCGTAGACACATTTTATATTCAGTTGACATCTTTAATTTTTGCTATTTTGTTGAAACATTGGTTGGGATGATTAGCTTCATTTTTTTAATTACGTGATTTACGTTTTTTTTTTTAAAATTAGACAAGCTACAGTTGCAATTCTTTACATTAGTAACAATTGAGGTATGTGCTGTTAGACAATTTTTGTATTGCACAGGTCTTTCTAATTATATATATAATAATAATGTGTTGAACTATGCTAATTATTCCTATCCAGATTTTATATACAAGACTGTTGTAAAAAAAAATGTTGTTGGTTCTAAGTAAATTCTAATTCTGTGATGTTTGGAATTCTGTGATGACTATCCAAATAGGTGAAATTGTAATTTCTGTCATTTCTTAAATTCCGCATATATGACATCCAAACGCTAAAATTTGCAATTGACGGAATTTTTAAATGATGTAATTGGAAATTCAGTCATTTACAATTTCCATGAAAATTAGAATTACTTCATCCAAACACACCATTAAAGAATCTACTACTAAAAGTCTTATTTTAGATCTCAGTCTACCACAAAATTACATATGATTCGTAAGAATGTTCATTGGATTTTTGCTACAAGGGAACATGAGCTTTTGCTGATATGATACAAAAAATATCGTCAACAAAAGGATCAAAATTGGATGATTTTTTTTTAATTTGGCTTTTGAGAAACTTTTCATCTACGAGGACCTTTCCTATTGCGAGGCAATAATATACTAAAGAGTGCTACTATTTTCACCATTTGTTCTATTTCCCCATCCACCTTATTCAAAAAAATTTAAAGGTAAATTTACCCCTATGTAAAATAATTTCTAAGAGGACTTCCACCCCTACGGGCAACAACAAGGCAAGGGCAAGGCAAGAGCTGTCAGTCTGTCACCTATGTTGCATCGATACGGATACGAATACGGAAATACGATATGATACAATACGCCGATACGGCAAATCTCCAAAAACTAGGATACGGGTACAGCACCGATACGGCGATTAAAATAATATATATATATAATAATATAATAGAAAAATTGATATTTCATCCACACTATAATATATATAAAAAACAATTAATGCATATACAAAACAATTAGTAGGCTACACCAAATTAACCACACAATAGCTTATTAAAGAATATATAGCCATCCCCACCCCAATATTACCAATTATCTAATTAATAACACAGCAACTTATTAAAAGAATAAGAAGAAAACCTTGACCTGTGTGAGAAACCCACCCAACCAAATGAATATGAGATGGAGATGGAGATGGCGACGGCGACAGGTGCGACGGTGATTGCTGGTGGGTTCTCTCTTCCTTCTTCCTCCTCCTCCTTCTTCTATTTTGGTTGTTGTCTGAATCGCCCAAAAGACCAAGCCTCTCGATAGAGGCAGGGTCTTTAAAATCCTAAGTTTTAAGTTTACATTTTAACCCCAAATATTAATAACTTTCAAAATCACCCCCAAATTACCCCTTTGATGTATTGGTGCCATATCGCAAGCATATCTTGACCATATCGATGGAGTATCGGAGCCATATCGTAAAGTCAACATGCCAAAAAAGTCTACGATATGCCACATGGCGTATCGGTGCCGTATTGTAACGGGGCCGTATCGGATACGAGCATACCCCCAAAAACTTCCGTATCGGTGCAACAAAGGCTGTCACTATTCATGTGAATAGTGGCAGCCCTTGCATATTTTGTTTCCCTCCCTATGGGCAAGGGCAAGGGAAATTACTATTCACTTTAATTTATTTTCTATTTTTTATACTTGAACGATTAATTTTGATAAGATTTTCGGTTGCTAAGTGTCACTATTTATTATAAAATTCTCATTTCAAATTTCAGATTAAATTTTAGGATTAAATTTTCAGTTGCCACGTGTCCATATTTATTATAACATACAAATCTCAAATTTCAAATAAGATTCTCGGTTGCCACGTGTCGATATTTATTATAAAATTCTAATCTCAGATTTCATATTAGATTTTTACCCTCTAAAATTGCGCCACGTGTCCTCTCTATCTTCAAAATCCCTGTATAAAACTACACCCTCAACTCAGACCTCTCATACCATATCTCTCTATCCTTTCATTTCTCATATTTTACAAAACACATTCTACTCTCAATGTCTAACCTGAGGAGGGTGTTAGAGAGGCAAGAGCGAGAAGATGAAGAAATCAGGGGCAGAAGTGCTGAAGATGATCATGAGTTGGATGAAGAGGAGGATGAAGTTGTTTTTAGCGGTGGGTATGCTCAATCAATCAAGGAAACACCACCATGGTCGTGTCCCGAATGTGGACAAACATAGGCACTCTTGGGGTAAGAATCTCTTGGAAGATTACTTTATCCCAAATTTGTTGTATTTTATTTCTTATTTTCGAGGGAGATATAGAATGCAGCCTCATTTGTTCAAAAAATAAAATAAAATAAATCATGCATGATGTTTGCAATTATGGCACATACTTTGTTCAGAAGTATGATGCTATTATGGTTTTCTGTCTTCTTTCGGAGCAAAAACTTACAGCTTCTTTACGGATGCTCGCGTATGGGGCATCGGCAGACCAAGTGGATGAGATTACTAGGATGAGTAAATCAACTATCCTAGAGTGCTTGGTCAAATTTTGTAATGCAATAAAAACTCTCTACACGAAGGATTACCTATACAAACCTACGCCTAGGGACCTCTAAAGGCTTCTACAAAAAGTTGAGGCTCGAGGTTTCCCACGCATGATTGCAACCATCGACTACATGCACTGGCAGTAGAAGAATTGCCCAACTGCTTGACAAGGAGATTATGGGAATAGGAAGGACAAAAAAAGTATCATTCTGGAGGTTGTTGCATCATTCAATACTGGGGTTTGGCATGCCTTTTTCGGAGTTGCGGGATCTCAAAACGACAGTAACGTACTTGGCCAATCCCCAGAATTCAACGATGTGTTGAGAGGTCATTCCCCCCATATCATGTATCAAATCAACAATACCATATACTCGAGTTGGTACTATCTAGCTAACGAAATTTATCCGAGGTGGAAGACATTCGTCAAAACAATTCCAAATCCTTAATTGGAGAAGGAAAAAAGCTTTGCTGCCTTTCAAGAGGGTTATAGGAAAGATGTGGAAATTATTAGGGGTGTTGCTCGTATGTTTGATGAAGAGATGCTACAAAGCATTATGATGACTTGCATCATCCTCCATTACATGATTATGGAGGATGAGTATGATTATGATGCCCTTGAGATGTTCGAACCCGATCCCATGTACATGACATTGACAAGAATTTATGAAATGCCCGTGGGAGCAATTGGACAACCACTGGAGCACGAACTGTTGATTAGGGACGGTTGTTACAACAACCATATGATTGACCATTATATGGAAATGCTATCTTTTTATGTTCACGAGAGACGTCAAGTTGACTTGATCGAACACTTATGGGTGATGAAAGGCAATCACGGTGGATGAAGTCAAGTTTAATGATTTGTTTGGAATTAAGCTTTGTTTTTAATAATGGTTTGTTTTAAATTATGCTTTATTTTTAATTATGCTTTGTTTTGTGTGTAGTTTGTAATGAATTAAGGTTTGTTTTGATGTATGAAATGTTTAATAAATAGCTATATTATTTAATGCTTTCTTTATTCAATAAAAGAGAAACAATACAACAAATGAATACATATGGCAACTCTTTCAATACAACCTAATGGTTTTGATCATTTAACCAATTCGTGTTGCTAGGTCCATCATCATGGAAATGTTTTCTTCTCATAACATCCCTTCTTTTAGCTTCTAATAGGACTTTGTTTCAGAAGACATATGGCTCGTATCCACGACCATAATTTTCATCTCTTTGTCCTCTATGTCTTGTTGCTGTACCTGTTGCCTTTCTGTTGCATATGCTTCATATCGTGCCTTGTTAGCTTCATCTCTTTTCAAGTCTTTGTCAATTTTTAGTGCGCCGTTGATAGCAATTTTCTCCAAAAAATTTGCACATTCAGTGTTCGAAGTGCTCCCTCTCTTGGCCTTTGCCGCTTTTCTCCCAATAAGCCTAAGCTCACGTTGGATTGGTGAATCTTGATCCATTGTGGAGTCCAATGGCGAATCTGATGCTTGTGAACCGTGGAGCGGTGGCTCATTCAACACAACCTGACAGGACCCGCCCCGAATTTCCTCGAAAATCGGGACGGATCTCGCCTTAATACCGACATCACCCCGATGCCGGGCCCACTTACTAAGAATCAGACTTTCTACCAAAATTTTGGCAGAGTCTCCCCTGTAAATTGAACATTTCCCAAACTTCAACCTGCTCAAAATTCACAGTTTAACAATCCCAACCAGCAGCATGCCTTAAAGCAAATAAACAGTTTACAACAAAGGCCTCCGGCCTCACAAATCACACCCTACGCGGGCGATAACCGAGCATGTCTAAAAATTTCAGTTACAACAAGAGCAAAGTTCAACAGAAATGAAATGATGAAAGAGTTCCTACAAAGGCTCAAGATTCGGAAGCACACGATTCGGCTCAGCTGCGGAGCTGAGTCAATTACTGGCTGGGGGGCGGAAAATAGAAAATTGTGAGTGGACAAAAATACAGTTCAGTTTAGTGTAAACCAACATAATATAACCCCGCCGTTAGAAAACCATGCAAGAAATCCAAATGCATCCCAAAACCATCATAATCAAGTATATATATATCACATCAAAACAATACCGGATGCCAACTTTGAAATCCATAAGTAACGCTTCACAAACCCACCATTCAAAACTTATAAATCCCACAACTAAACTCTCGAAAGCGTACCCATTGGCACGACCGGCGAGGAAGTATCCTCACCGAGAAACAAGAACGAATGAGTAGTTATATATATACATACATAATAATATATAATTTACTAATATATATATATAATATAATATAATATAACCAACACCTAGTTGTACCGGGGAAACAATCGAACCGGGGGATTGTTTGACTAGTCCACATGGCAGAG